CCACCAACTATTCAGACAAAATACCATTGGCTATAGCAGGCCCAGCAGGAGTATAGTCATTAGGTCCAGGAGAGGATGATGATGAGTCTGTAGCTTCTGATAGGTCACTTTCAGATTTAAGCGGATCTCCCGGGATCACCTGCAAAGGCGAAGCAGATATAGGTTCTGTATAATCTGCAGGAGCAGAATATGTTGCGGACAGTGGAAATGCAAAATATAGAGTAGCAAGATCGAATGTAGGATGAAAAAGAGGTACAAAAAAGTCCTATTACTAACGAAATAAACCCTAAAATGGCACGATCCAACTATATAAAGAGAGTCGAAGGTAGGATCATAATGTAGCTGCATATCCGAAAACTCAATGTAGATCACTGTTGTTGCGTCTATCATGTAGATCTGAGAATAAAACAGAAATTAAGTAGGGTGAGAATTTCTAAAAATTCTCAATAAGGCTGTGTTTCTATGTGACATCGATTTCATTCTCAGTTGCTTCAGTTTTTATTTAAATAAAGGGTTGTTAAACCAATAAGAAAATATTTCAATTATGATTACTGAAAACATGACCCGAAACAAAGTAAATTTTATGTCTAACATTTGCAATACATAGGATCATAATGATTATGATACACATATACCAGAAATTAAATAAATAATTAAAGGACTCAACATGAATCATACATGTGACATAACAGTACTTAAAGTTGTAATTGAAAGCAACATTGAAATGAATTAATATTAATTAAAATACTTTTAATCACATAATAAGGTACTTAATTCTCATATATGTTCCTATCATTGGTCCCTTGGGAGTTTTTGGCCATAAGACTCCTAGGTAATAGTCTACTTATCAGAATCGAGCTCGTTCCTATACAGGATTTGTCAGGTTTACTTTTTTCAATGTTCCCACTGACTTATTCCCCTTAACTATTTATCCGGGGCTAGCCCAAGTGATATAAGACTTTCTTATAACTTTCAATCATCTTAAAGTTTCATAACTTTCATATTGTATCTCACATATCTCTTTGAAATTTTACAATTTATCCATAATTCTTACAAAATATGTGTAGCATAACAGACCATATTTGCTTTCCAATAAATAGTGCCAGCTAACAAACAATCATTCACATACCATAGCAAATAAATAAATAAATAAACAAAACCTTTAAATTCATAATTCTTTTCTTAAAGTGATAAATTTTTCCTTGTTTTATTTTTACTACGTTTATTGCTATATGACTTCAATAGACCTGAATTTTTTATATGTTGAAGCTCTATTTGTCTATTTTCTAACCTAATTAGTCCCATTCAGTTTTGACAAATACAGCTCAAGATTTTTGCTTTCTACTATGACCTGTCCTGTGATTAGCCAGAACAACACTCAAAAATATTAAAATCTACCAAAATTCAAATTCTAAGTGTATGATTGTGAAATTCATGTCATTTTAAAGTTAAGAAATCAAGTTTTAATATCCAAAAAGTTTCATTTCATTTGGTTAAATAGAATTCAAGCTATAAGGTTCTAAAGTTGATTATTATAGGTTGCTCTGTTTTTTACTCAATAGCACTAGGGGTAACTTCGAAAAAATTCTAGGAACTAGTCAAAACGAATTGGATTGTGAAATTTTTATGGTATAAACTAATATATCTTAGCTTTTTAACAAATTTTGTTTCACCTCAATCTAAGTTATGTGGAACGAGTTATGTCTTACACAAACTTATCTGCCCAAAATCAAAATCTGAAACTTAACCCAAACTTCAAAAATTCATAACTAATTCTATACTAATTTAATAATTTATATGTATAGAAAGATCTGGATGTATAGTTTAAGTTAAAAATATTTTAATAATATTTAAACCGTAAATAACTGGTTGACATAGTATATTTGTACGAAAACCCTAGAAAATTTTGTTTTCAGACTTGTTTTCTTTCTCTTCTTTGTTTTTTACTTGATCTACCTTCAAACTAACCCAAACCACCATTAATCCAATTATACATCATAAAAAAAACACCACATATACCATGTATTAAAAGATTTAAAACATAAAATAGATAGGCACACACATCCATATAAGCATATCAACATAGATAGAACCCTACCTCCTTTGAGCACCAATTTGATTCCAAAGATGTTTCTAAGTTGCAAGTGTAGGTGAGCTTGAGAGAAAAGCTTATGGAGGTAAGAAAAGGAGAAATATGGAGAAGAGAATGAGGGAGAGAAGTGATCAATTTTATAAAGAGATGAGGGAAAGTAAAATATCTAAGTGGCCATGATGAATAAAGTTACTTGGCAAATTTTGATTAGTTCATAAATTTTGTGGTCTTAAATGAGTCATAAGGTGAATTATGAACCATTGGATCAAGGTGTGGTGGATGACTTCCCCACCGTTGGATCTAGGGCAAATAATTTTATTTTATTCTGGTAATTTAAATTACTGAAACTCTACCGATCTCTCTCCTAAGTGGAAATTCTACTATAAATTTTTAATTTTAGTCTACCTAATTAACATAGATTTGAATTCTAATAAATATTCAATTAATCTCTTATTAACCTTATTCATGTAAATTAATCGAGAAAATCAATTAATAGCATAAAATAGATATTTAAAATTTTGGACGTTACAACAAGCATCTCAATTGTCTTCTGCAACGCATCTAATGTGTTCTTTGTTGAATCTTGCACTTCTGCAAACGTTTTCTCAAAGAACTCCATGCGAGTTTTGAGCTTGGTAGTCACGATTGTCCCAAACGTCCTTAACTAATTGATACTAATGTCAAAGTTTGGATGTGATGCCAACTTTGAATGCACACACTCACTTATAATTGTAGAGGAAACACTGAACATAGAAATTCTTATATATTTGAATCTGTATAAAGGGTTCTATATATAAACCTAGCTTCCAACGGTACCAACCGTTTTTTCCCCACCAAAAACAAGATAACAGAATTTAATCCTATAACATGCTACTTTAATCCTCCTAATTTTGTATTATAATAAAAGTAAGCGGCATTTTGACCAAATAACAATAACATCAATAACAAAGAAGGTGTTTCGCTTAGGACTTGGTCAATATTCTTGTTTTTGTCATTGGAAATGTCTAAGTAAAGAGAAATAGGAGAATTATGCATATTCAAAAGCTTATGAAGAGGTCTTGTTAATGGCATATATAAATACTACTAGAGGAAATATATAAGATACATGGTTTTTAGACACGAGTTGCAATAATCATATGTGTGGAAAGAAAGAGTATTTGAATCTATATATAACTTTGACTTCTAACAGTACGAACCATTTTTTTCTCACCAAAAATAGGATAACATAATTTATATCTTTTATTTTTAAAATATATAAATTTTAAATAAAATATTTAAAGTATAAATTTTGCCCTCCCATATTCTTCCCTCCCCTCCAAAACCTCCTTCTCAAATAGATCTGGATTTTCTCCCATTATGGTGGAAACTGGACATCTAATCCAATTTCATTTTCGCTTAAACGAAAATAGACTCACATTTTCTCTTTATGTAAAAATGTAGAAAATGACAAATTTTTTTATGCAAAATTAGATTAAGTAATTTTTTTTGGCTTAAACGAATTTTGCAGATTCGTACAAGTTAATTAGTTTGACTTAAACAACTTTTGCGTCTTCTCTTTCAATCTTCTCTTCTCCTTCTCCCTATGCCTAACACTTCTCAACCTCCATATTTAACCATTTTTAACTTCCATATTCAACCTTGTTCTTTTTCTCATACCCAAGTCCTCTCTTCCACTCTCAACTTCATTCTTCTTCTACCCTATGCCCAACTCTTCCCACTCTCACTCTACCTTATACATGTTTCTCCCTCTTTCCTCCATACCTAACTCTCCACCCTTCTTTCCCTCTACCACCACCCCTATACCACATGCTCTCCTTATTTGTATCCATCCTCACTTTTCTTTTTTATCACACCCAACTTCCATCTCTTTAGATGCACAAAATTCACTTAAGTTAAATTAATTTGCTTAAGCGAATCTACAAAAAAATATTCGCTTAAGCTAATTTTATGAAAAATATTTTTATCATTTTCTATATTTTTACTTAAGCAAGTCTATTTTCACTTAAACGAAAATAAAATTGGATGTCTAGTTCCTGTCACAACTAGAAAGAATCTGAATCCTTTCTCAAACAAGTCCTTAGGAGTTTGTTTAGAGGCTAATGTAAACTAGATGCTTATAATATTGAATTTAAAGGAGAAATTTTTAAAACTTAATCAATATTTTTGTTTCAACTAGTCGAAAAAATTCTTTATTTATTAAAATTTTAATTTATTTTTTGATTTAGTCTTATCTTATTAATAGTAGGTAAGTGTTAGTGACATATTTTTTACTTTTTTTTTTTATATAAAATTTCATATATAGCCATTACTTATATTTTTAATGATATTTCACTAAAATTTTTCTTTTATTATTCTATAATATTAACTTTAACAATTTTACAATGAAGGAAATAATGAAGAAAACATTAATACAATAATTCATGATGAAAAGTTTAAAAGTAAAATAAACTTATCAATAAATAGTTAAATAATAATAATAATGTTGACTTCGTAATTCACAATGATTGAAAGAGAAGAGATAATAATAAAAACAAAAATCATAAAAATAATTTTAAAAAACTAGAAACAAAATTACTCAAAATATTCAAAGTTAAAAATAAAAATAACTTATTTTAAAAAATAAAATAAAATCATTTTATATCCTTATAGGTATTGTTTAACTTAATAATCATAGCTCTATTATTTAATTTTAACATCTTTTAACTATAAAAATTAAAATGAGTTACGATTATTAATTTTAAAAAATTAATTTTAATAAAATTACATATTTCATATAATAACTATGTGAGACTTTTGTCAAAAAGAAAATTGCTTAAGCTGGAACAATTTTCTAAAACTCAATTGAATTAAAATTATAAATTTTGTATGTTTTACTTGTATTTAAAATTAAAAATTCACATACAATTGGACGATGGCAAGTTTGAAAAGAAAATCTTAATGACGAAGATATGCGAAGAAAAACATTAATTAGTGAATAGTTATAGTTGACAGTGAATTTTGGGTGAAGGCGAGTGAAGAAGAAGAAGAAGAAAATTGAGAGATGTGGGTGGAGATTCTCTGCGGTTTGATCATCTACAAACTGTTCAGATTCTTCTTCTATGATGACGACGTTTTGGACATTGAAGGATCTGATTCTTCTGTTCTTTTCTCCGTCGCTGATAGGTATTTTCTTACTTATTCCCCGATTTTGTGTTTAGGGTACCGATCAATTTCAATTCTTTGCAGGCTTAAGAAACTTTACGGAGGAAATGTGTATGTGGGTCTTCGAATTCCCGATGCTGATACTGCTTCTCGACAGAGCATTGATATGGTTCATCTCACTAAACAGTATTATCCTTTTTCCCCCTTTTAATTTTTGCTACTATGTTCTGTTTATCTTACATTTTAGTGATTTTACTAATGGTCATTATCAAGTTATGATTTTTTTATATTTTTATTTTTAATTTCGTTTTATTACTGCAGAGAGGTTGTGGTGATATGTGTGAGAAACTTCTCAGGAATTTTGACAATTGGTGACGATGGTAGTTGGGTCTGTGAAAAGCCAGGCAAACATAAAGTAGAGCGTCACCTTAATCCTGTAAGGAAATAACCACTTAAATGTCTTTGTTCTTATAAATGCAGAACACTGTCATCTTTTGTTCGCCACAATGCTCTTTTTTAAGATTGCATGAATTAGAAACTACTTTTGGATATTTTTCTAAAGAGTGGTTTAGGTTTCTTTTTGTTCATATTTTGTTATTGATTTAGCCAATAATTTTCTTCTTTAATTGTTTTCTGAACTCTTATGCAGGTGGAAGAAGCAAGAAAGCAAGTCTCCATCCTTGAATCATATCTTGAACAAAGAGGGGTTGCTCTGCCTGAAGGACACATATCTTGTCAAGTTATACTTCCAAATCCTAAATTATGGTATAGTTTTGAATCTGTTAATATCATTACTTACTATATATTTATGTCTACACTGTACGCTTCATTTTTATATGTTTCCTACTAGTTGTAAGTTGTAAATTAAATCTTACTTCTCTCAACTTTGAGGCAACATAAATTCATGCTAAAATGTGTGCAGGAGAGTGACACATAATTTTTATGCTGGAAATTCTGGAGAAAAGGGATTGCATTTTGTCTTTATAATGGCAAAAGGTTTTGACACTTACTAGGATGAGATTGCTTGTAATTTGATCTATTTTATGTGAATTTTTTTGTGCTCAAAAGTAAGACTTCCGAATTTTCCGAATTCAGCTTCATATGTCGACTTGTGATTTGTAATGACTATTCTTCCTATTCATATGTTTTATGCATTCAATTTTTAAATAGTTCTTTGCAACAAATGAAGAAACCAATACTGTGTAGTTTGTGATTGAAGTGGTGTATAAATTGGAAACGTGTTGAAGAAATTGTAAGGGGTCAGTTCAATATCTTGACAAGCAGTATTTTTGACAGCGGAAAAAAAGGCATCTGCCAAGCTGGTTTTACACTAGTCAGAAGCAATTGATAATTTTCTTTTAATTTGTTTTGTAATGCATGTTAAAGTTAATATCTTTGTTTATATTTGCAGTGCCATTCCCGCAAGTGGTTTTCCACCTGAAGTTATTACCCATGATAAGTGGGTGCAACTGAAGGCAGGACCAAAGAGCACATTGACCAGTTGGGTAAAGAGTGCCTTTCGTAGTGGGAAGAAGGATATGCAAGAATCTATTAATCAAAATCTTGATTTTGTCCTTAGCACAGCTCCAATATGGGATAGGTGGGTTAGCATTTGTACTTAATGAGTCACTGTTTACATTTCTAGTATTATATTCTTCAGTATAATTTCTTACAATTGGCTTGTTAAAATTTTGGTTTGTCTTTGCTTGATGTGTCCAAAGCCAACTCAACCTTGAGAACTGCTATTATGAGGAAGGGCTCAATATGGTTTTGATTTATGTATGTGGCAGAATAACAAATGTTCATGCAAAAGCTAGCTTGAAGCCATAAAGCATAGGCCCATTTTATCCTTGAACGTTTTTCCCCCAATTTTAGTTGACAGTTATAAGATGACTAAATGAGTGGTTTCATCTACTTTACTTGTATAAATGTTTTTTAGTGATATCACTGGTTCAGTGCATTCTTGTGGAATGATTTAAAAAACTAAATTATTTTGCTTTGGCCCCTACAAAAACAATTAAGGTTTTGGTGCAGCTGAGGGAATTCTTCAGAACAGTGTACATTTGCAGCATTGTTATTATCCTTTAATATTACCGCATTGTAGTTTTTCACTAATAAAACAGTTTGGTTGGCTTGTAGGTTGGAACTTAAAGGCAACAAGTATGTATTGGGGGAGTTCCAGGAATTTAAGGGCAAGCAAGAGGATGTTCAGGCTTTAAGAAATATCAGAAGATCAAAAGTTGGTCGTATGATAATCCAAAAGACAAGCATGTTTGGACTAGGTAATCTTTTGGGCATATATTATGCTTTTACTTTCCAATTGTATTCAGCTGTGTTACCCGTAATTGTGATGTCCTCTATCACCGAAAAATAGTAATAATAGCCGCTTCAAGTCAAAAGATAGATAAATCAGGATCAAGAATCAGGGCATTAAATCATTGTGGGAGGGGGAGGCGAAATAGTTCATTTTCCTACTCATTGTTAACATTCTAACATTGGCACTTACATATTAGGGGTGATTTGCTAAAACCAGCGCATACATATTTGTTTCATGTTTGATTTTAAAATGGTCATGGTACAAAACAAAACAAAAGATGATCCACAAGCCACGAGACAGAAGTCTAAAACATTTGTTACTCTATAAACCAAGGGACAACTTTTTGTTTCACGCATAAGATCATCCAAAAGTTTTTTTAAAAAATGGACCTTTCTCCCTCTCCTTGGTAGTCCACTTTTCCCAAGCTCCCTTTAATCCCCCTCAGTCCTCTTCCTCCATCCCTTCTTTCCCTCAAAACTGCTCGTGCAATGTATTGACCACCAAACAGTAGATGGAACAAAAATTGTATTGTAACTCAACTACTTATTACTTTTTTGCTTGTATTATCCCTCAGTGTGCATTAATTAAACACAATATTTGGAAATGAAGGAAGCATGGATTTTTATCTACTGATTGCTGTTTACTAATGCTGTGGTTCATCTAATTAAAAATTGAAATAACTACCCGTGACTCAAGTGCTCTTCAGTAAAATTGTAGTGTCAACTTTCAAATGATAATTACACGTCTGGAGGGAGAATGATTCAAGAAAGGAAGCTTTCTATAGTTGTAGGCTTACTTATTATTTTAATTTATGTGTTAATTTATATTAAAGATATAAAATAATATGAATTTCTTTGCGCTTATCGCAATAAAATTTACCAAAAATATTAACGTTGTTTCGTTCTATAGTTTGTGGTTTCTTTGATTTAACTTGGAATGAATTGCAGCTCCTTCTAGGCTTCAAGTTTTATACACCTTGCGTGACTACAGAACTGAAGGGGCATCAGAACCAGAGTGTAAAGAAGTAACTGTAAGATCAAGTACTGAGATAATCTTTCTACCCGGAAATGCCTCCAAAGTCCGAAAGTTTAAGCTCTCTTCAGTGAGCTGTATGCTTCTTAGTGCATGAAGCTACCCAAATTAAAGAAAGGATGCATACTTTGTTAAGCAGCAAGAAATGGATATATACATTACTAGCCTTAGAAAATATCAATATAGTTAAATTCTTCCTCGACATAGAAATTATACTACTTTCTACTGCGTGCTTGTATTATATATATTTTAATCATTTAACAGTTTTATTAAATGTGAGGTTCTTTAACTTTAAGCTTTAGACATCCCATATATTGACTAAGCATAAACTTTTTAAAATTCTATTGTGATGCAACCTGATTAATTTGGCGAAATGTTGCATGCCCTATTGAGGATTGATGAACTACTCTTACTCTATTCTATTACAAGATTCATCCTGGAACGATCATAGCAACAATCGTTGCTCGAACAGTAACTCTTTCCAATAAATATAGTCACTATTTGTATTATGCTAGCTCAAACCCACTGCCAATTCACACGGTAACACTTCGAGAGGTTTTGGTTTTCAGAGGAATAATCCGTTCACATAAAGCAATTTTAGAGCATTGCTATTTAGTTTTAACTTTTCTTCACTTTTTTTCTAACAAAGAACTTTTGCATGAAATGAATGCCGGGGTAATTAACGAACACAACAGAAATCAAAATGAGAAAGTAATGTGAGAATCATATATGTATGTACATGCAAAATTATTTTCTCTATCTCCTCAACACTTTAATTATTTTCTCATATTTCTCTTTTACTTTTTCCTTTCTCTCTTTTAATTGTACAAAAAATTATACAAATATAATTTTCGTTCTCTTCCATGTATGTATTCATCAAAGTGGAGAATAAAGTTAGATTAAAAATATGAATTAAATCCAATTTTTTTCAAAGGATTGTTGTCGATCTTGAAGATAATGATTCAATCCATATATACTTTCGAATAAAGATACAATTTCATATAACGTATCTATACCCGAAGGAACAAACGATTTTGCTGAGCATTTAAGTGCTCAGGAAGATGGAATGACGGGTAAATAAGAGGATTTCATTTAATTATAATAACGTAATTTTTTTAAAACATTTGAAATCATATAATAATATCATGTATTTGAAAAGAAATTACAGTACTGTATGGATTGGATTAAATTTAGAAGTTATTGTGTGAAAAGTAAATATTATTTATTTAGAATGGTTCCTTGCATATTGGACCAAAGTGGATTAATTAAAGAATTAATATGATCTGCAAGTTTTTATTTTAATTTTTTGTCTTATTTATTGTGTCAAAATCAACAGGAATAGTCTCACCTAACAAATAACAAAAACTCTTGACTTTTTATCAAAAGGTAGATAATTATCAACACGTTATAGAAGGAAGATCATACTGACTTCACCTTTTGAGTAAATTATACTATTTATTGGTTGCTTTCTAATTAGTGTCAAGGAGAAAATAATTGCATAAACAAATGGTTTGAAGGCAATGTTATTAAGAGTTTCTGAGACGTTGGACTTGAGTTTGTTCCATTATTTTGGTCCTAATAATCTCTTTTTACTTCAGAACATAAATGGGTCATTTTCGCAATTGCATCTCGTGTCTTAGTCTCTACACAACTAATCATTTATAATATTCACTCCCTTTTTCCCATTCTTCAAGTTTCAACTGAAGTCTCCATTCTCTTCAATTAATTTATTTTCCTTGACTCTCTTGTTCTATTATGTTAATTTCTGTGGAAAAAAATGAGACAAACAACAGTGGATTTTGCAAGCATCTTCTTCATCATGCATGTCGTAATTGTAAGCATTCACATTTAAGATTTATGAAAATATCAATACTGCATTTAAGAAGGAAACCATGCAAACAGCATTTTATAGTTTATACAAAGAAGATAAAAGATGAACATCATAGGGCCGATAGTCTATGATTTAATTACAATCTCCGCGTTGTGTAGTACATAGTTTATACGTTGGAAGCTTTGTATATTTGGATATGAAATAAATCCATAGTCAAATAATACATATAAACCAAGCAATTATACCTAAATGAACACTGTGTTATGCTATGTATAGATCAGCGAATAAATCCCGTTATTGCTGTAACCCTCAAATGCCTTGATCTTTCATGGGACTGTCGACCATGGCTGGTTAGAATGTTGGCTACAAATAAACACAAAATAGAAAGAAAAGCAAATGAGCCTGCCATGCCATGCATCAAATAATAATAATAAACTTATATATTCTAGTGGTACTTTTCATCACTTAAAATATACAGTGATTATGGAGACATGCAACTGCTAAGATGAAATTTATGGATTTATAGGTCAATAATAATTATCAAGATACAATAATAATATTTGATTGAAAAATAGTATTAATAGTCAGTATGATATTGTATTTATTTTTTATTATTATAATAATAGTAATAATAATTTTAGTAACTTCAGTTTTTAAAATTAAATTTAAATATTTAAAAATAATAAATTTGTGTTTAAAAATAGTACATTTATTATATTAAAATTATAAATTTATAAAAAATAAATTTTTAATAAAGTTTTATTATTATTTAGTGCTTAAACTCTAAGAATAATACTTCCTTAATAATAATAATAATAAAAGTGGAGTAGATACATAAAATTCCAAGCACTTGCACTTACTCTATGAAACCTTTCCAATAGGCATCGCTTGCTTCCTCGTTCATGAAATCGCCCCACGTTAACTCAAAGGTGGTGGAAGAAGGGTTTGAGAAGTCCTTTGAGTTAACTATGTTTTCTTCTTGCTTGGCTGGGGAAAGATCAGGTGAAGCAGAAACCAGACGTGGAAGCGAATTCGTTGGTGAGGGGTTAGCGTTTGTGGAACCAGGTTGTTCATCAAACCTTTGAGATTCCCCACAACTACTATTTTTGCCACCATTCAAGTGCTGATTCGTACCACCTTGTGGTGGCTGCTGAGTGGCTTCAAAGTTTTGGAAATTTGGTTGAATTTGAGAAGAAAAACCAACTGAGCCATTGAACAGGTTTTGGAGGTTGGAGTGATTCAATCCCAAAACATCATTGAGGAAACTATCTTGCATGGTGGTGTTTGATGATCCAAAAGGATCATTGAGTGGCTCTAAGTTTGAGGCAGGACTATTGGCACCCTGCATGACTTGAAGCATGTTCTGTAGCAAGTGGAGTTTGGCAAGTTGTGTGGCATCTGATTGTAGCCTTAGAGCATTATTTATGTCACATGGGTTTGTGAAACTGTTGACAATGTTTGCAGCAGCCAATATCTGTTGTAGATTGCTTAGAAGGTTTAGGTGATCTGTTCTTGGACGGTGAGTTACTGGGTCTAATCCCATTTGCAGAAGCTTTTTCTTTAAATGGGTGTTCCAAAAATTCTTAATTTCATTATCAGTTCTACCAGGCATATGAGATGCTATAGCCGCCCACCTAACAACGGAAATTAACAAAGCATCTTAAAATCATGATTGATGTGTATAAACACTCTAAGATTAATTGATTTGACATAATAGTCCAAGGCTAATAAGTTAAAAACAGTTTTCAATATTCCAAGCATTGCTTTAAAACTAGATATTGTGGAATACCATATGTAATGAAAAATAAGCTTAATTTGGGGATTACTTATTCCCAAGAACTGCATGTAAGTTGATAATGAGTTGCTCTTCTTCATCAGAGAATTTTCCTCTTTTGATATCAGGCCTCAGATAATTAGTCCACCTTAATCTGCAACTCTTCCCACACCTGTTCAATCCTGCAAGCTTTGGAAGCGCTCTCCAACTCCCATGGCCATGTTTCTGAATGTAATCGACTAGTATTTTATCCTCTTCTGGGCTCCAAGGCCCCTTCTTCAAACCACTTTCATCACTGCTTGGTGTTCTCATCATCACACTGCACCTATCAATAATTATATTGCAATTAGTATACGAGCATTAGTTTGATTCAGAGAGTAGTTTCCATGACCCAAAAAAAGAAAGAGATCACCAGAAGAATCCAAACCTTGGAAGTGTTGTGAAGTGGAGGATAAAACTAGCATTTACCAGACAAGTGTTTGTTATATATAAGGTGGCGATGTTTGGAAATATCATTGCTTTTCTGATTTATAAATCGTGTTGTGATGGCAAATTCCAAGTTTGTCCCGTATATCATACACAATCATATAAATATAGTAGATAACGACTTTGAAGGGCATCACCACTCACTCCTTTAATTATATACTTTTATTCATAATGTCTGATTTTAGTGTATACATATAATAACACAGTTAATCAAGCTCATTGTCAATTTACTGCTTACAGAAATATTTTTCTTTCAAAAGCCATATCCAGTTTTTTCGTCATTTTGAAAAACAGATAATATGTTCAACTTGCATTGTAGTATACTAAAAAGGAAATAGAAGTATATAAATCTCCATGACAATATTTCACTTTTATATTCTCTAATAAAAAATTTTATTTATATATTGATCTTAACTTTTCTTTATTGAGAATGAGTAAATTAGTTATGTGTTAATTTACTCATTCTCAATTCTCTTAATTTGAATGTCATATAAATTTAATTCAAATATAACTTTCATTTTTTAGTGACTTAATTATATATGTCATTTTCAATCATATATTCCTTTTTTCGTTTTTAACTATAAAAAAGATAGTCTCTCTTCTTAAGTTTTAGCACTTTATCTATTTTTTTAATCTTATCCATAATTCCTCATATAATCCAACACATAATATAAAATTCTTTAAAAAACAATTGTTAGTGTCAGATATTTGTACACTTATTACACATGCATACAACAACAGTAATCAACTAATAATAATACCATTGATGTTTCTTATGCTCAGTCACAGCAAAATAATAAACTATGTATTATTAATTTTACAACATGGGGATATATTAAAGGATCTATAAATGGATAATACATCGCATGCATACACGGTTCCATTTTCTCTTACAGCAGAAGTTTCCTAAACAGCCTGAATAGCTTATCTGATAAATTAACTTTGTTTCCGTTTCTAAATTGACTTTATTAAATTTGTGGTCTAAATTTTCCATTGACGTAGCGTAGAGTCAATAATATTAACTGGAAGACATATATATAAATTGTTATACAGAGAAACATGTAAATTATCAATGAAAAAATGAAAAGAATAAATGGATTAATTGTAATAACATGAATGGAAGATCAGTGATGCAATTTTCAACCGGGGCTAGGTAGAGAACGATGTATGACCTTCACTTGTCCAACAAGAACAAGGCACATGCGTATAGGGCAACATGGCAAAGACTAATAGGGGAACACATCATAAACAGCAACGAACTTAAACTACCAGCAAGGGTAGGTTCCACGTGGCAATCATTTAGTGAGTGTGAAGCTCACTTTTCATGGCCCATTTGGAGAAGAAACTTCCTGATTTGAAAGCATCGAATATGTCTAACATTGTTATTATCTTTAGAACCTATTTATGTTTCGTGTCATACAAATCAATGCACGCAAAACTACATAAACAGTCCATTTGTGGGACCCCAGATTCAACGAATCCATATAAAAACATTAATTTACACACGATGTCTTGCTCCAGATCTAGCTTCTACTATATTCGTAGCTAAATGAAACATGCAGCAAACGTAGAATATATATATATACTTCATAATGTTTTAGTTGAAACAAATATACGAATATATATATAAAAAATTCTAGTCACTTGAACAATGAACATATATAATATGTAGATGTTATATAATATATATTAATTAATGAAATAAATTAGGATAACAACTTCATTATCTTATCTTATAACCCTCTAAACATATTTTAAGTATGTGCCGTGCGCTGTATAAAAATTTCCGTATACATCGAAACAGTGTCAATAAGAGATTGCAAAATCAACGCTAGAATTGTCATGTGTTTGATAAAATCTATATAAGAATACCAAATGGTAGATGCAGCAGCCTTTTATTCAATCTTGTTAGGTAGTACAAGCGAAAAATGATTACGTATGTGCATCCCACCACCTTATTTTAAATCAAACAATTAATCATGACATTCAGTACATAGTCAGATACCCCAAATTGAAAAAAAGAAACACATGTATATATTGTACCTGAACTTGGAAAACCCTACTATATTTTCTCTAGTCTAATCCATATCTATTTGTTCTAATCGAATTATGAACCCCTCCACCTTTTCTACTTTTAGGTGAGAGTGAGATTAACTTTAAGAAAGTCTTATAACATCCTCAATATTGCAACTCATTACACAGACAAGGTAGAGAGGCATACTAAAGGTTAGAATGCCGTTGATTTTAATTTGCCTTTTAATATACACTATTTGTCAATAGGTATATAAGTAGCATTCTCTATCTGAATTACCAAAATCTTTTTCAATAATATCTTAAAACCCTTATTGATGTCACATAATTTTGGCACCCCATTATCTTTTTTCGAATATATTAAACTCACAGACACAAACGGGGAGGGGGATCTCCAACTAACCTTGAGGGTTTCCACAGGAACAGTTCATTTAACTTTTACCAAACAAATAAAGGATGGTTTTACTATTTGCATCCACTTTTAATTCACACCTTCTCAGAGTCCGGTAATTAATTGAACCAGATACACAAGTTACTCCTCACTTGGTTAACAAGTAATAAACAATGGGACGAAGCAAGTTATTAATAATCATTTACATGGCATTACATGTAGTTTCAAAATTTATACGCGCGCGAGAAAATCATAGGAATAAACAGCAAAAGTTAGAAAAACATTATTTGAGTTAAAAGGTAGGAAAAAATTTTGGAGAAATTATTTGAGTAGGGATTCGAAGTTGTATATTCTCTCTTGCTTTGACTACTTGAAATTACATCTAAATGCATATAACACAGCATACACATCAAAATCAAATTGTAATCATAATAATAATTCTCCGTTAATATGTATCGAATCATGCAGAAGGAGTTATAGATAAGCAGCCAAATAGAATTGAACATTTATACCAAAGAAATAAAGTAAGAGTCAATTTGATTTATAGTCTTCCAGTAAAACTACTTACATACCTGAGTGCAGAAACTATGGAAGGTAGCAGTCAATTTATCCTACCTTTATGTATGACCTTTCAGCGATAAATTATTATTCGACAGATAGAAGCTCCTTTTATCATGTGGACCCATTGTTACTTTGAAGGAGGTTCTGTCAAACATCTTTTTTACATCAATTTACACTTAACGTTAGTCACATTAATTTCATGCCGTGCAGTATAGTAAAAAAAATTTGACGATAGTATAAAAGTCATAACTGGACCATAGAAACTTAATAGTAACCAGTGCTATGATTTGGCATACTCCGTTGCCTCTCCAAAATGATAAAGTTGTTATTTGAAGTGCTTTTAAATTGCTTTTTCGCCAATAACTTACGTTAAACTTGCTGTAAATTGAGACTCATAATAGGCCCTATATAAAAGAGGAAGAGAAGAAATAAAAAAGTGTAGAAATGAGAAAGCGCATTTTACAGTATTTATGAAAGAATGTCCATTAGTGTTTGGGTAATCGAGTAATGAATTAAGATGTATTTTTACAAATATTATTACTGCTGTGTTTTATTCAAAGGGACTAAATGCCCCAACAAAATGAGTGCTGTACTATGTAAAAAATCAAATTAAAAGGAATAACTAAGAAAAATGACAAAAGTTGGCGAGAGAGGGAGGTGTAGGACCACTTTGCTCTAGCGGTTCCGAAGAGTACAGCGTCGTGTTCCTTCTAGACACATTACGGAGTGTTTAATGTTTTGTTTTGCAACCACACGTCACATCGTGGACACAATAGTCAATTTGGGGGTTAAAGGGATAGTAGACATTGCCGTCGTAGGGGTTTTCTACGAACATTACCTCATTATCCACATTTACAAGCCACTTTAGCCTTTGCATTTTTTACTATATTTTATCTCATTCAAATTAACTAATGTCTGTCCTTTCTTCTAAAGATTTCGTGTAAACGGAATATTATGCAAGCAACAATAACGAGATCTCCCCTGTTACTTAATATGGTTGATTTCTATGAATATATAATAATTAGACCGTTTAATATAATTCATGTTTACTTGCGAACTTGGTACATGTTTGCCAAAAAGAGACTAATTTCGTTAAACTAAAATACTTATATTAATTGGATAAGTAAAAGGGACTGGTCGTTGCTCTGAAACTTGAAGTTGTTCAACCTATTACTCCAAAAAATCTGATTTAGAAGTCGAATCCATCACAACCTTTTATTATTATCAAAAGAGTTGGTAAAATGAAAGATTTACGTAATGAGAAGATTTACCAAAGATTAGAAGGTTAGTTGAGAAGACGATGCGAGACGACTTGAATGTTTGCATTCATAAATATTCTATTTGCGTCTTAACGTGCAAAGAAGAACAATCATAGTAGTGTTGCCTCTCTTAAGAGACATGTATCTTTTTTTTTTTTAATCGAATTTTCGGACAAGCAAATTAACTAGATGTCTATCAGCTTGTAGAATTAAAATACAGCAGAGGCCAAGAACATGCATAATCTTCACTCCTAGTAAAAAAAATATTATTTTTGATAAAATTGTAATACTAGTGTTTACAGTAAAAATTTGCAAAATCCAACAACAATTTGAGGCGTGAATTTTAGACTCTTGGATTATTTTAAGTATGTTATAATTAAATTGATTGAATAATCATTGTAAAGCATAAATTTAAGTAAGAATAGTAGAACTGAATAAAAACAACATTAATTGAACATAAACGTTTACAGAAATGTACTAAACAAAGACATATTGCAGGAACAAAAAAATAAAATGAACTAGAAAATGGAAATAAATTGTAGAAAAGATAAATGTACGACTTCATAAATGAACAACAACAACCGTAT